GACGACGCACACCACTGGCTTGGTGTGGGGAGCAGGAGCGGGCCGGACCGGGCTGGCGATGCGCACCATTGGCTTGGTGCGGGGAGCAGGAACGGGCCGGACCGGGCTGGCAACGCGCACTATTGGCTTGGTGCGGGGAGCAGGAACAGGCCGGACCGTACTGGGGACACACACCACTGGCCCTACGCAGGGATCTGGAACGGGCCGGACCGGACTGGTAACACACCCCAGTACCTCTCGCCGTGCCTCTACACCTTCCATCCCCTCTTCGACCAGTTGTCCCCGTAACCTGGCGGCCTCCTCTGCCAACCCGCTGGGCCGCTCTGTCGCGGTCTCCTGCTGGCCCGTCGTCCACGGCGTTTGCCCCCCCCTAAAAATTTTATGGGCTTCACTCCTACCCATGGACCAGGTCTCCATACTTCTCGCCAGCCTTTCGCCCTTCTGCTTCCACGTCAAGCCCCTCTCTTCCTCACCCGGCTTGACCCAGTCGAGGAGGCGCTGGATATCCGCTAGGGATTTCCCTGGCGATGGCTCCTGGACCCGCTGCTTGGTCCAGTTCTGGTGGGATCTTCTGTCACGATCGTCGGGAACAGATGAGGACCAAGGCGCAGCGTTGCAGACGAACATACTCTTTATTAGTGATACGCGACCAAAACAACAAAAACGATAACGTGACAGTCAACGGTCAAACACAAACCAACTAGAACAAGATCGTGACACTACCCCATAATGACAAAGCGAAAACAGGTTTTTAGAAATGAGAAAAAATTGAAGAAATGTAGTGGAGTAAAAATAAAACTTGTCAAAAATATAAATAGTAAAGTACAGATAAAAGGTATCTTTCCTAATTTAAAGTATTTTTACTTAAGTACATTACACCACTGCTTATAAGCCTACCACTGGCCAATCAGATAGCTAAGATCACCGTGTCTGCACAGTTTCCTCAAGCCATAGGCTGTAAAAAGAAGCCTCCAGCACACAGCAAAGTTTATACTGTTAGATTTCAAAACTTTTAAAACCATGACTAGAGACTCAATGAATACAGCAAAGAGCTGCTGTTTTTATAAGTTAGTTAATGTTTAAGTTGTTATTCAGCACTCTCAACACTTTCTTCAATACATGTCTAAGCCATAAAATGCGCATTCTCCCTACTTCAACCTACAACCAGCACTGCAGCTGCAATGAATGAGTATAGCAAGTGTTTCAATAAGCTTGAGCTGTTATTATTAGTGGCTTGTCTTTTTTAATATCAAGGAATATTTCACTTTCTCTGGTCATAGGAGTAACATGAATTGGTGCATGAGGCAGAAATAATGCAGTGCGACTTGAGTTTCACCATCAGCGGAGAGACGGTGGGTCGGGTGAGAGACTATCAGATGTAGGCCATCAGTCCTGTAAAAAAGACGGAAATTATGCTCACTCAGCTATGCCTCACAAGTAACAACAAATTATCTATTACGAGTGTGATCATATCATTTAGAAATATTTTTTCCAAATGGTCTGAGAAGAACAACATTGGCAGGGCAATTCAAGCATAGCCTATATGCTGTGATAATGTATTGGGCCTATAGCCTACTGCACAAACCTCATTGCTACAGAACTGTTTTTAATAGCTTAATGTTACATAGGTTTAAGTCATTTTTTTATTTAATTTTTTTGTCATTTAGCAGACGCTCTTATCCAGAGCGACTTACAGGAGCAATTAGGGTTAAGTGCCTTGCTCAAGGGCACATCGACAGATTTTTAACCTAGTCGGCTCAGGGATTAGAACCAGCAACCTTTCGGTTACTGGCACAACGCTCTTACCCACTAAGCTACCTGCCGCCCCAGGTCATGTTTCTAAAAGAAATCTGAGCGGTAGATATCGGCTTGCTTTTGGACTCAAAGTGATCTTGACTCAGAAAAGGTTGGTGACCACTGATATAGACCTACATATGTGTATTTAAACATAATATCATAGGCTCTAGGTCAAAAGACTATCAGCAGCTGAATCTGAATGTATAACCCACTCCAACACCACCACCCTTAAAGTAAACAAAATTATTTTAGCTGCCTGAAGACATATTGTCCTTGTCAGCTTGATGATTTCAAATAAACAATTCTTGCAAAATCTAAGCAAGTACGTTCAATATTTGCTGCTAACATTCGGATTTAACCTCAATGTAAAGCTAATCTCCTTCATTTAATATGATAATAAAGCAGACTTCTGTGAAAAAACCCACCCACAACTAATGGCTTTACCATTCGTGACCGTCCGGCTCGATTCGGTCTTATGTAGCAAAATTTGAAATGGTGTTGTTTACATTGGATAAAAGTAAAGACTCAGAGCTAGAAAATTGTATATCATACACTACAGTTGAAGAACAATAGGAAAGTAATTCTGCTTTGAAAGTTGATCAACTTGTAACCCCACTTTTGAAAAAATGGCCCTTGAATGTTTTTTGTCTACAGCCATTCAGCAACGTTCACACCCTGTTAAGCCTTAGCCCCACCCATCTCTTTAAGGATTCACATGAGAGGCCATGTGCTAAACAGTGAATACGGTAGTGTACTAAACAACCAAAGATTTCAAGACTAAAGGCTGGTTTATGCTAAGTCTATAGACGTCTGTATACAGTTGTCGCAGTGACATCATGAACATTCTGTCATCAGACATCAGACCTGTTGTTGTCGTTAGGAAAAAGTATAAACACAAAAACGACAGAGTGCATGACATCAGCAGCCTGGTGGTCCAAAATAGCATAACTGGTGCATTTTAACACCAATAAATCCACCCGTTCAAAAAAATGAATTTAGTACATGTCAATCTAGCAAACCAGGCAACTAAAAGCAACTTTCTAAACAATGTTTTGGTTATTTTCTAGCTTGTTAGCTAGCTAGTTAACATTAAATTAGCTGGCTAGCCAGTTCAAATAATGACCATATCATATAGCTGACAACGTCTTAACTTTTGCTCATTTGTATTCATTATTACAGGAAAATAAACTAAAAACAAGATCCTTATTTACAAGTTAATGGCAAGCTATTACAGAAAATAGCTTACGGTTGTGAGTGTGATGAAATAAAAGCAGGGCATTCTACCTGAGAATTTTAGAACTTGGACACTGTCTCATTGGCCTAACTTTATATCCTAATTTGACTTTACATTTACATTTACATCATTTAGCAGACGCTCTAATCCAGAGCGACTTAGAAATATCTAGCTTGAATCATACAAAAAACTCAATTCAAATCTATATACAGTGGGGGAAAAAAGTATTTAGTCAGCCACCAATTGTGCAAGTTCTCCCACTTAAAAAGATGAGAGAGGCCTGTAATTTTCATCATAGGTACACGTCAATTATGACAGACAAAATGAGGGGAAAAAATCCAGAAAATCACATTGTAGGATTTTTTATGAATTTATTTGCAAATTATGGTGGAAAATAAGTATTTGGTCAATAACAAAAGTTTCTCAATACTTTGTTATATACCCTTTCTTGGCAATGACACAGGTCAAATGTTTTCTGTAAGTCTTCACAAGGTTTTCACACACTGTTGCTGGTATTTTGCCCCATTCCTCCATGCAGATCTCCTCTAGAGCAGTAATGTTTTGGGGCTGTCGCTGGGCAACACAGACTTTCAACTCCCTCCAAAGATTTTCTATGGGGTTGAGATCTGGAGACTGGCTAGGCCACTCCAGGACCTTGAAATGCTTCTTACGAAGCCACTCCTTCGTTGCCCGGGCGGTGTGTTTGGGATCATTGTCATGCTGAAAGACCCAGCCACGTTTCATCTTCAATGCCCTTGCTGATGGAAGGAGGTTTTCACTCAAAATCTCACGATACATGGCCCCATTCATTATTTCCTTTACACGGATCAGTCGTCCTGGTCCCTTTACAGAAAAACAGCCCCAAAGCATGATGTTTCCACCCCCGTGCTTCACAGTAGGTATGGTGTTCTTTGGATGCAACTCAGCATTCTTTGTCCTCCAAACACGACGAGTTGAGTTTTTACCAAAAAGTTCTATTTTGGTTTCATCTGACCATATGACATTCTCCCAATCCTCTTCTGGATCATCCAAATGCACTCTAGCAAACTTCAGACGGGCCTGGACATGTACTGGCTTAAGCAGGGGGACACGTCTGGCACTGCAGGATTTGAGTCCCTGGCGGCGTAGTGTGTTACTGATGGTAGGCTTTGTTACTTTGGTCCCAGCTCTCTGCAGGTCATTCACTAGGTCCACCTGTGTGGTTCTGGGATTTTTGCTCACCGTTCTTGTGATCATTTTCATCCCACGGGGTGAGATCTTGCGTGGAGCCCCAGATCGAGGGAGATTATCAGTGGTCTTGTATGTCTTCCATTTCCTAATAATTGCTCCCACAGTTGATTTCTTCAAACCAAGCTGCTTACCTATTGCATATTCAGTCTTCCCAGCCTGGTGCAGGTCTACAATTTTGTTTCTGGTGTCCTTTGACAGCTCTTTGGTCTTGGCCATAGTGGAGTTTGGAGTGTGACTGTTTGAGGTTGTGGACAGGTGTCTTTTATACTGATAACAAGTTCAAACAGGTGCCATTAATACAGGTAACGAGTGGAGGACAGAGGAGCCTCTTAAAGAAGAAGTTACAGGTCTGTGAGAGCCAGAAATCTTGCTTGTTTGTAGGTGACCAAATACTTATTTTCCACCATAATTTGCAAATAAATTCATTAAAAATCCTACAATGTGATTTTCTGGAAAATACATTCTCAATTTGTCTGTCATAGTTGACGTGTACCTATGATGAAAATTACAGGCCTCTCTCATCTTTTTAAGTGGGAGAACTTGCACAATTGGTGGCTGACTAAATACTTTTTTTCCCCACTGTACATTACACGTAATGTCCCGGTTTAGCAACGCAATTATTTTCTTTAAGTTTTGGCAGAGGTATCACGATAGGCAAAGGAAAGAGGACTATGTGTTCATTGTTTTTGTTTGGGTCTCGTATAAAAAGATAAAGACATACGTGTTATTATAAAGTACATTACAAAACTGCGCCCCCGTTCGAGTCCAGGCCATTCTGAGAATGCCGCAACCCTGCAGTCCTGTTGCCCTTGACGACCGGGACTGCCTTTTCCTCATGGGGGTCGGTGTTGGAGTCTGTGTCATTCGAGTGCTGTGTCAGGGACGTCTCACTGCCAGTTGGGGAGTCCACGCTCTCGTACCCTGCGCTCAGCTGGCTCCCAAAACCCACTGCACAGTCACTAGTCTGGCCCCCCGCCGCCTCTGAGTGGTTGGAGAGTTTAGTCTCGCCCTCGCCGGGGCTGGAGACCATGGGAGACGGAGGAAAGTCTTCCTCTGTGCTGCTGACCTCACGGTACAGGCTGGGGGTGGCCGCTGTGCCTCTCTGGGAGGACGAGCTACCGTTGCTAGGTCCGTTGGAGACCCTCTCGCAGTCTTTCCCTAGCTGGGCGGAGGAGGGGGTGAAGGTCTGCTCGGCCTGGCTGGGGGGCTCGGCAGAGCCGCTGGAGGGTGAAGTCCTGCTGGGCCCTGCCCCAAAAGAGGCAGCCTGAGCTGGGTTCTGGGAGAGCTGCAGACGGGTCTTCCTGAGCTGCTACTGGAGGACCAGGATGGTGCTCTGCATGCCCTCCACCTCCTCATCCAGCTGGATGATGAAATCGTTCAACTCATCCTGGCTGCTCTTCAGCTCCTCACTGTACTTCTTCTGCAGGGCCAGCTCTGCCTCCAGCTGGGCGATACGGCCTTGGGACAGCTGCCTCCCCAGCTCCTGGTTCTCCTGGATCAGCATCCGACACTTGGCCATGAGCTTCTTCCCTGTCTGGCTATCTGGTGTAAATTTCCAGGCACACAGTTCATTTTGGGCCTGCTCCAGTTTATCTTTAGTCTGTTCCAGTTCGCCCTTCATTTTGAGGAAAAATAAGTTTATGGCTACCATGGACGACCGCAGTTGGGCTGCACTGGGCTGCTGGACTTGCTTGAGGTACTGGATCTGGGTTGTACACTCTTGCATTTCCTGCTCCTTGGTGGCGAGCCGCATGACCAGGATGTTCCCCCTGCGTGACGCCTCCTGCTGCTGCGGCTTCAGCTTCTCCTCATACTCCTTCAGCCCTGTCACATTGTTCGAATTCAGATCAGCATATTTCGCTTCCAGGACCTGGACATAGGTTTCATGTTGTTTCCACCTCACACACAGTTCCTCTCGGGTCAGGGTCTTCATGTCAGATTCACTGAGGCGAACGTTCTTTGGAAGGGGTTCCTCATTCGTCATTCTGAGCTCTGTGGCCAGTTCTTTGCTAGCTATGTTTTCCGCTTCTTGTTTTCACAAAATGGCGGAGAAAGACGACTCCTATCCCCTTCCACAAATGAGCGTTCCCTTTTCCTTTCGCGCAAAACCCTGCTGCGAATGAAGACTTAGCGGACGCGTTTGAAACCGTATGTTTTGAACACCCACCTACTAATATGCTATTTACAATCCGAATTTGCTAATGTATTAGTTCAGGGATGCCAACTTTTGAAGATACATTAGCTTGGAGTGTGACTTCCTATTGTCAATGGCTCCACCACTTTGATGTTGTTCTTCACATTACCATCTCTGGTAAACACACACTATATCAAATAAAATCTAAGTTTTTTTGTTACATGCACAGGATACAGAAGATGTAATCAGTACAGTGAAATGGTTACTGGCATAGTGGAGTCTTTTTAGCTAGTTAAACAATGAACGATAATCCCAACTCATGTTAATACCCTGCATGAATCTACAGGTAGCTAAAGCTAACCAACTAGCTAGGTTCAATGTTAGCTAGCTAGCTAACATTAGGCTAGAACTAGCAATGCAAATAACTCTGAGATACGAATAATATTACTACATAGATCATGCACGTAACGTTAGCTAGCGAGCCAGCCAGCTAACGTCAGCTAGCTAGCTAACATTACGCTATAACTTGCAATGAAAACTACTTTCGGACAAATTTAGAAACGTATAATATCTGAAAATGTAGCTAGCTAGACTATTACCTGTGAACGCTTCTCCTTCATGTCACGGATGCCTTGGTTGCCCTTAGTTTGAAGATGTAATCCGGAGACAGGTGTTTTATACAACAGCCTTCTGTGTTCTCTTTTCAACTCCCTCCGCATTTGCAATCAAACGCCTGAATTTTCTCCATCTCCATAGCTATCATACTCTGCTTCTACCGGGCATTCCACTGATTTCAAAACTCGGTCCTCCAGAAAGTGGAGATCCTTAGCAACACTTTTGCAGTTCTTCGTGATATCTTTCAAAAAAGATGCTTTAGAAAGGATTACCTACACATACTGAACAGCTCATGTTATAGACAGAAGTGTACTACATGGCAGATCAATCCGAACTCATCTCTCGGCATGTCCAGCCCATCCATGATCTCAGCCAATCATGGCTAGCGGGAAGGTTCCTGTCTTTTTCCGTGGCTAAACCAATTAGGCTCGTAATTTAACAATTTTATTTGTATTTACAGATGGCATACACGTTTTTTATTAAGGCACATAAAAGTTCAAATGTTCCAGATGGCATTTCTGCAAAAAAACACATTTTGATAAAAAATATAAATGTTTACGTTCAAATGCCTCTCCTGTGAAGTAGTGACGTGCGAAATACGCCTAGTTTCCTGAAACGAGTCACATTTGATACCTGTCCAGTTTACTCTGTGTGTGTTTGTGCTCAGGGACAAACATTTTCCACTTTGACAATAAATTTTAAAAAAAAGACATCTTAGATGTATAAATATGCACGTCTACAGCAGTGGCGGCTCCTGAAAAAAATCTCAGGGGGGGCAATTTTTCTGATGATTTAGGTGACCTACACACATTTAAAAAAAGATATGTCCAGCAACAACATGAAGACAGGGGCAGCATATAAGTCAATACTGATATACACATTACTTGCTTCAAAAAGGCCTCATGGTTGAATTGGAAATATGTGCACCTGAGCATAATTCACAACAAGCAAGCAGGAGCTTTTGATAGAGGCTACTGAAAACATTGATGCAAGTTATTGGTAATAAGACATCTTTATAGACTTCCATATTCTGCCCTCTTGTATAGATTTGTGAAAATGAACAGTGATAGACATTTTGCCTGAAAACAGAATTTGAAAATAATTTCTAGAAAAGGTAAACACAGCTATCTGTATGGCTTTGTAAAAATGAACAACCATATTCTGGCCAATTGTATAGATTTGTAAATATGAACAACCATATTCTGGCCAATTGCATAGATTTGTAAAAATGAACATGAACAGAATTTTTTTTTTTTTATTACTTTTTTTTAAATGAAAAATAACTATTTTAAACAACATCAACTGTGAACTGATTTGGGCGTGTGTGTGTTAAAGAGACAGACAGGGAGGGACAAAGAGAGAGAGAGGCTACATTACTTGTACTGAAACTGTTATTTTCTCTCTTTCAATGCAGCAAAGCGGTCAATGACTTTCTCATTGAAATCAGGCATGCTGAGGACTAGTTCCCTCTCCATGGAAAGCATGGCCAGTGCATTCAGACGTTCCTGGCCCATTGAATTTCGCAGGAATGTCTTAACTCGTGTCAAAGTTGAGAAACATATCTCAGCTTCAGCTGTTGTCATGGGAGTAGTTATGAGGATGTTCAACAGAGTCACAGTCTCAGAGAACGTCTCCTGGAGGTTGTAGCTCATGAGAACCTGGTACAGTGCCAGTGCACCACAGCAGCCCTTGAATTCAGGATTCTCATAGATCAGAGATAGTTCTGTCTTGAGCTTTGCCTTGCTCAGCATGGGGTATGCATTCACAGTGGCATTCAGAACCTCATCAGGAAATGAATGGCAGTACATTTCAAACATGTCTGCTTGCAGTAAGGTAGCACTCACAAGGTGGCCAGAGAAAGAGAACCTTTCTTTGGTGTGATCCAGGATGGTGTTGCAGACCTCTTCAGACAGCCTCTGCTTCTCCTCTTCTCTCAAAGCTGTTCTGGGTCTTTTGGCTCCTGTTGCTTCTTGCAGCTGCTGTTGAGAGGAGTCCCTGGAGGCAAACAGACCAATGTGTTTGTTGGCTTTGTACAGTATTGTTGTCTATGTGATGCACAGGTCTATGCAATGTATCCATGTATAGTACAAATACTTCAGTTCCACTTAAAATGGGCAGGGATGCATAAAGTCTTTAGTGTTTAAGTTAGCCTTTGTGTCTCACATAGCCTGGATGTTCAGCACAGTATACAGTGGTGCTCATAAGCTTATGAGCCCATGCTAAAGTTGACTAAAAAGAGGAATAAAAAAGAAAAGAAAATTGGTGTCCTTAAAGGTTGGATTTTCCAACTTTTTTAATTAAGTCATTAAGATCAATTTCCAAAAGATGATTTTTTTATTTTTGTATTCCTCTTTTTAGTCAACTTTAGAATGTGTTCATACACTTATGAGCACCACTGTACAGTACACATAGTATATAAAATAAGCTAGATTACACCACTGGCCATATATAATGAGAATAATGTAATTTCAAACACAAATGCAGTCTCCTTTCATGCATACATTTTCAAATAAAGCTCTGCTTTGAGAAAGATCGAATGATATTGTTTAATCTTACCTTATGGCCTGCACACTGCTTGTGAAGCTGTCGAGGGCACGTTTGATGAAGACAGCATCGATGTCCTTCTTCTGTAGCTTCTGGTACAGAATGTCGACGTGGGGCATGATTTTGTGAAAAAGCCCCAGGAAAAAAATAAAATCTTCATCATGTAGCATCCTCACGTAGCCAGATGCCTCTCTCACGGTGGGCTGGTCAAATGAACCCAATGAACCCGTCCGGATGGCTTCAAAACATTCTATGAGGTCGTCTCGATTCTCGTAGACAGTGTTCACGACTCTGCTGTTGAAGTTCCACCGTGTGGATGAAAGTCTGGGCAGTCTTCGTGCAACAGTCTGGTCAAGAATGCTGGTGCGTTTGGGTGACCGGGAAAAAAAAGTTGCAATCCCGCTCAGATCGGAAAAGAAAATGTTCACTTTTTTGATGCGAGAAGTAGCTTGCTGCATGATCAAATTCAGCTGATGTGCATAGCAATGCACGTAATGGGCATTCTTGAAATGCTCACGCACCTTTTGCTGCACACCAGCCTTCTCTCCCCTCATCACACTGGCTCCATCGTAAGCTTGCGCAATGAGTTTGACTTTCTCGTCGTCGGCAAAAAGACCGTTCAGTCTCTCCAAAAGCACACTGGCGATTGAGACTGAGGTTGATTCCGAGATGGGAAGGAACTCAAAAAAGCGCTCCTGCACTTTGTGGTTGCTATCTATGTACCTCAGCACAAGCACCAGCTGTGTCTGTGTAGAAACGTCCGTGGTCTCGTCAGCTTGGATAGCTACGAAGTTCGCCGACTTCACCTCCTCCACAATATGTTCCCTCATGACCGCTAGCATACACTCCAGTAGCTCGTTTTGAATGGTCTTTGATGTGCCCTTGAAAACTTTAGCATTTTTAAGATGGTCATCAAACACCTCATCTAATTGTGCCACAAAGTTGACAAGTCCAAGAAAAATACCAGGGTTGGTGGAGCCCTCAGTTTCATCTTTGCCTCGCAAAGCTAACTCAAACACTCCACAAAACTTCACACACTGGATTAGCCGGCTGAGGATGTGGCGGTTCTTGCTAACCTCATCGTTGTGGCGGCGGACAGCTAGCCTGTATCCCTCATCCAGTTGAGTGGCAATGTTCACTCTCCCCAAAGCAGACAATCTCAAACAGCTATCCATGTGGGTCTTTGACAGCTCATGTTTCTTAATCTTTTCTGAAAGATGGTGCATGTCCGTTACACCAGTCGCTGTCCAAGCGGTGCTGTCTGCCGTGCTGCCTTCAGGGTGAAAGAGTAAGCAGGGGTAGCAGAAGACTGCATTAGCTACATCGCAGCCTGCTAGCCAGGTTTTTCGTTCGTACCAATTTTTGGAAAATCCTTGGGTGTAGGACTTTCCCCCTTTAGTAGAAACCTGTTGAATTATAAAATTTGGTCTGGGAGGTCCTAATTGTTTCGTTGCCAATTTATCTTGATTTGTTCGCCGACAAAAAGGAACTTCTTTCAAAGAGACAATCGAGTTGCACTGAACGCTAGCCATCTTGACAGTAGTACGTGAATTGATTGACGCTGCTACCCGCTCTTTTCTTAGTTATGTTCATGGTTATGTTACGTATGATGAAAGCACGTAAGTGCAAGCCCTCCCGGAACCCATAGAGATTGTATTGAAAGCTCTGATATTTGAAAAAAAAATATTTTACTTGAGAGTCTATGAGAGACTTCTGGTGCGATTTTCAACCTGACTGAAATCGCCCCAAAAGGGGCGGGGCCATTTGAAGCACGACTTTAGCCTGATTGGACATTTAGTGGCAGATCAGACGTCTAGATTAGAACACTGATAACTACTGTTGCCGTGATATAATTGATTAGAAAAAAATCCCTTCCTTTTCCCGTTTGGCAGTGCGTCGCCCATATCGCCCTAATGAACACACCGCCCCTGGTCTACAGCATGAGCACAACCCCCCACAATTGTTTGAAGCAAAATTATAATTTGATATTATATACATATATACACATTTTAAAAACTTTTCTCAACAAATGATATAATTACTGTACAAATGAAAGAGAAAAAAGACACGGCACAACTATTTGTTAGCTCAGGTGGACCCGAACTAGCCCGGCCCACCCTAATCTCCTCCTTTCAAGTGTTGTTAGGATGAGTTTAGTTAGGGCTACTACAGAAATGAAAGTGCATCGAGGAGGTCAAAGGAGAGCAGACAGAAATACATTAATTCAGTAACACCTCAAACACCTTTTCAGTTTCTAGCTTTACAGACATTTATAAAGTGGCCACGCCAAGTGGAAATCTTTAAACCATATCCTATAACAGTTTAAACTATGTTGTGAATTGTGAATAATATACTCTGACTGTCTAAAGCCTAGGTGACTGTGGTATGCCACCCATGGGGCGGCGCACAATTGGCCCAGCGTCGTCCAGGGTAGGGGAGGGAATGGCCGGCAGGGGATGTAGCTCAGTTGGTAGAGCATGACGTTTGCAACGCCAGGGTTGTTGGTTCGATAAAATAATGTATGCGCTAACTGTAAGTCGCTCTGGATAAGAGCGTCTGCTAAATGACTAAAATGTAATGTAAATGTATGCAAGTTTCTTGAAGACTAAAATGACCAGGAATTCAGATTTTTAAATGTAATTTAGGACATCTGTTCCCAAGTATTCTCACAAATAAAAAAGAGAGGTGATCGTGTCGCAATGTAATCAAGGGATGAAATGATTGTTATTTCAAATACAATCTATTTTGGGGCTTATTTGTGGTACAAATTATTATGTTCCGGCCCCCCGACCAACCACTCAGACAAGAATCAGCCAACTGCTGAATCTAGTTGCCTACCCCTGCCATAGAGGCATAATTAATATGAACAGAATATCACAAGATATCATACTTCACCCTCGTGCTTTCAAAAAGTATTGAAATTTAGCAGACTACTGCAGAAAGAGGGGTTTAAAATCTCTAGCTACCCATTCCATTATAGGCTGAATTAACTGATGGGTTGTCTGAGGTTAACAACCTAGGGCTGTCTGCAGAACTAAAATACAGAGATGCCGTACCATTCATTTTGTATTGAAAATTCATCGATATGAAGTTCCCAAATTAAATACAAGTAGCAGAAAGAAAGACAAAGATGGAAGGCAAAAATGATTTTAGTCCAGGGAGGAAAGTAATGAGATTTTAAAGGAAGAATTGTAGATTGCTCATTTCAACAGGACTGTCTTTGAGAGGAAAGTGTCAATTTTGCCGTCGGACAGATTGTGGCTAGAAGATGAAAGGGTAACAGTAGAGGGGGAGGGAGCAGATGCTCTGGGCAGACTGTACATATAGATGGCTCCAATGACCAGACCAGCACCCAGCGTGAAAAGGAGGTCCACGTGGAACCCAAAGAGGTAGACAGAGACTACAGTGGAGACTATGATGGAAAAGGAGGTGGCGAACCCCTTCAGGATGTTATCTGCGTACTTCACTACCACTGCCAACAGTAAGCCCCCAAAAGCCTGGTTGAAGATGACGCCCCACACCATGGGTGTGTACCCAAACAGGAAGCCTTTCTCTGCAATGGCAAGTCCATTGTTCCACCACATCCCCAACAGGCCTAGTACAGTTCCAAATATGCCTAGCTGGATGTTCCTCATCCACACAGAGGCTGAGCTGCCCTTAAGGATTTTCTCAAAGTACACTCCAGCAAAGCCAGAGGAGAGGCAGGACACTATCACTGCCACCAGTCCTTTGGCATAGTTCTGGCTCAGTCTAGTGACTGTAGTCTCCTTCTGTTTTCCTTCCTGCTCCACTTGTACGATAGCAACCCCAGCGACACCCACTGAATCCTCGATAGGCTCTTTCGCACCATCAGCACAGAGAAAAGGGTTGTGGTCAGGATTTTCAGCTGGTAGGTCACCTGGAGAAATAACCACAAAATTAATTAAACCAAACAGCATTTACCAACATACTACATTTAGCATATTCCAGACCTAAACCTTTACAATTACTTGCAAGGGGATAACATGGGACACCCAAAACATATTGCATTCTATGCTGTAATGCAGTGGTTGCCAACCAGGGGTACTAGGCCTATTCACAGGGGGACTTGAGAAGACTCATGAGACCATAGGCTAGCTGATCAAATGCACGAGGGGGTACTTCAGGGGTACTCCAGGACAAGCAAAATTCAGTTGGTGGTATATTAAACGAAAAAGGTTGGGAACCACTGCTTTAATGGGAAATTATTTGATTAATTATTTTCCTCTATTTTATTTATTGTTGATATGGATTGCTATGTAATAAATATGATGGTATGTGCGCGGAGATGCAGACAGATGCATTCCATTGGGGGAAAGGAAACAAGAGTTACATTTGGTACTTAAACTGTTCGCTGCTCTGGCACCCCAATGGTGGAACAAGCTCCCTCACAACGCCAGGACAGCGGAGTCACTCACCACCTTCCGGAGACATTTGAAACCCCACCTCTTTAAAGAATACCTGGGATAGGATAAAGTAATCCTTCCACCCCCCCCCCCCCCCCAAAAAAAAAAAGATATAAAAAAATAAAAATAAAAAAAAGTGTAAAGTGGTTATCCCACTGGCTATAGGGTGAATGCACCAATTTGTAAGTCGCTCTGGATAAGAGCGTCTGCTAAATGACGTAAATGTGCCCTTGAGCAAGGCACTTAACCCTAATTGCTCCTGTAAGTCGCTCTGGATAAGAGCGTCTGCTAAATGACTAAAATGTAAATATGTAAATGTATAAATGTTAACTTAATTAATTTAGTATATTTTATCATTATCTGTTGTAACTAAGTACTGATGTTCCTAACTTTGACCTGTTTAACTGCCAGTATTGAATGGTGGTTGAAGTTTGACGCCAGACTGGGCCAAGGACACACTGATAATGTATCAGTGACATTAACCATGTTTCCATCCACAGTTTTTATGCAAGTAAAGTCATACTGTATGAAAATAATAATAATCATGACAGCTGTGATGGAAACAGGACGTTTCGGAACAATTTTATAAATGCCGATAGATAATTTGTTCGTTCGACATAGTGTGATCTTTATGTCTGTGAAATTAATTATGCGAGAAATAGCAGTGGAAATGCCTTTATGCGCAAATAGATCCCACTATATATATACTCTGACAGAGCTCCACAGTTCCTCTGTGGAGATGGGAGAACCTTCCAGAAGGACAACCATCTCTGCAGCACTCCATCAATCAGGCCTTTATGGTAGAGTAACCAGACGGAAGCCACTCCTCAGTAAAAAGGCACATGACAGCCCGCTTGGAGTTTGCCAAAAGGCACCTAAAGGACTCTCAGACCATGAGAAACATGATTCTCTGGTCTGATGAAACCAAGACTGAACTCTTTGGCCTGAATGCCTAGCGTTCCGTCTGGAGGAAACCAGGCACCGCTCATCACCTGGCCAATACCATCCCCACATGGGAAGCATGGTGGTGGCAGCATCATGCTGTGGGGATGTTTTTCAGCGTCAGGGACTGGGAGACTAATCTTGTTTCTCATGGTCAGAGTCCTTTAGGTGCCTTAGACCACTGCGCCACTCGGGAGGTCGAACTTGTTGGATGCATTTGCTGTTTATTTTGGATGTGTTTCAGATGATTTTGTGCCCAAAAGAAATGAATGGCAAATAATGTATTGTGTCATTTTGGAGTCACTTTTATTGTAAAGAATAATATAATATGCTTCTAAACACTTCTACATTAATGTGGATGCTGCCATGATTACGGAAATGCTTAATTTTAGCCGGATTCTGCCGGAACAGGATCCAGCAGCTCTCCGTTTTGGACTGTTTCTTTCCAGAACCCCCGGCACATCCCGATTGACAAATTAAGCACCGGATTATGGATAGCCCTGAATGAATCGTGAATAATAATTAGTGAGAAGGTTAGACACTCATATACTGTATCATACCCCCCCCCAAAAAAAATGCTAACCTCCCCTGTTATTGTAATAGTGAGAGGTTAGCATGTCTTGGGGGTATGATATTTGTGCGTCCTATTACTTCGCACTCATCATTATTCACGATTCAGTCAGGACTATCCGTAATCATGGTAGCATCCACATTAATGTAGAAGTGTTTAGACTCATCACATATGCTGCTCTTGCTGTTTATTATCTATCCTGTTGCCTAGTCACTTCATCCCTACCTATATGTCTACCTCAATTACCTCGTACCCCTGCACATAAACTCGGTACTGGTACCTGGTATATATAGCAAAGTTATCATTACTCATTGTGTATTTATTCCTTATGTTATTCTTTTTCTATTATTTCATTCTTTTATTTTTTTGCATTGTTGGGAATGGCCCTTAAGCATTTAACTGTAAGTCTACACCTGTTGTTAACGAAGCATGTGACAAATACATTTTGATTTGATTACTTTATTATTTCATTCCATGTCATCTCAGCTGCTGCCTATGCTGTCTGGTCACTATTTTAGTAGTTCTTCAAAGTAAATAAGGCATACTTTTATGACTGCTGAATACCAACTATCAATCACTTAGCTGTATTTTCAAGTAGAGATACCTCGAAACAACTGCTCTCTATCCCTCTCGATCGCCTATCTTCTGTCTCTTCTCTCCTTCTCCGTGTCTCCCCCCACACTGACCAGACAAGTAGGCACGCAATGGATTATGGTCATTGTAGTTAATTAAATTTTCTGAGCTAAACTATGTAGAATATTGGCCTGTTGGAAACTACAACTCCCTACTACATCGCACAGTTCGGGCTTGATCTGATTTATCTCTAGAGAAACTGCGCAGTGAACCCGAATGAGAAAAACCTAAACGAAATTCAAATAATTCATCCACCTTCGGTCAATTAGTTGTTTAAAAATCGAAGAATAACCAACATTTCGGTTAATCGCACAGCATTATTAGCGACACTAGTTTTTACACACTAGTGTTGCTGGGAATTAGCTTGCAAAACAACTGAAAAGTCCACCAGAAGTTAAATAAAATTATATTTCAATTTTACTCTATCGATTGTCTGTAGGCTTAGTCTAGGATTGTCTGTGGTCCTTATTCAGTGGGAATTATGAAGAAAAAATACATATAAATTTAACGCATAATAGAGCCCCACAGTGGACGAGTCATAATACCCTTAAAACCTTCCGGTCAAACACGGAAATAGTTCCAATAATTTTTCACCATTCATTTTTTACCATAGGGGATTTTAGAACCACTTCAAAAAAGGTATGTGTTTCATATAGGCTTTCCCTGGCGTGACGTTTTGATAACCGTGTAAATCTCTCTCAGACAAGATGACTTTTTTCAATATATTTGGCTCCATTTACTCTCAGATTCTAAAATGCTAACATTAAATACAATTGGTAGGACTTGCTTTAACTCTTTTAAAAAAATGGTGGTAGTGATAGAAGTTTTTACTATTTAATGCAGTTTTAAAGTATGTATGTTTTGAAAAACGTTATAGTAGTGGTGCGGTCACTAGTTGTGTGGTTGTGGACAGTAGTTGTGGTCAGTGATTTTGGTAAGTAGTTGTGTGGTTGTGGTCAGTAGTTCTGGTCAGAGTAAATAGGGCACGGTTGTTGTCAGTAGTGGTCAGTTCTTGTGTGGTTCAGTAGTTGTGTGGTTGTGGTCAGTAGTTGTGGGCAGTAGTTGTATGGTTAGTAGTTGTGTGGTTGTGGTCAGTAGTTGTGTGGTTGTGGTCCATAGCTGTGGTCAGTTGTTGTGGGGTTGTGGTCAGGAGTTGTGTGCAGTAGCTGTGGTCAGTAGTTGTGTGGTCACTAGTTGTGTGGTTGTGGTCAGTAGTTGTGGTAAGTGATTCTGGTCAGTGATTGTGGTCAGTAGTTGTGTAGTTGTGGCCAGTAGTTGTGGTCAGTAGGTGTGTAGTTGTGGTCAGTAGTTATGTGGTTCAGTAGTTGTGTGGTCACTTTTGTGATTGTGGTCAATAGTTGTGGAAAGTGAATATGGTCAGTAGTTGTGTGTTTGTGGTCAGTAGTTGTGGTCAGGAATTGTGTTCAGTAGTTGTGTTGTTGTGGTCAGTAGGTGTGGTCAGTCGTTTTCTGGTTGTGGTCAGTAATTGCGGTCAGCAGTTGTGTGGTTGTGGTCAGTAATTGGGCGATTGGGTGAAATATGAAAGGAGGGAAGCGTGTTGCTAGGTAATAGTTGCCTGCTCCCTCCATGGCTAAAGCCAGTGTGAGAAACATGCTAACATAATGGGTACGTTTGTGCTATGAAACTAAATAAATACTGCACTTTGACGAAAATGTATTTCAGAAGAACAGAAAATGAGTTGTCCTACTGTATGTTATCTGGCTATGCGCCATGCCATAGATAGGCTGTAAGCTTGTTCATTTAGCAAACAAGACAGGCTTATAAGTCCTGTGCCATTATTTTATATTCTATGATTTTATAGTAAGAATATAATTGAATTTAGCTGAATAAAATAGAAAGGCATTTTTTTACCATTCTGGAGCAAGAGTGCGTGCATATGAAGAGGGTATGTTGAGCATAAAAGTGATCATTTGAAACAGGCCCTATATGCAAGATTTAGTATCCCGAGTGGCGCAGTGGTCTAAGGCACTGCATCGCAGTGCTAGTTGTGCCACTAGAGATCCTGGTTCGAATCCAGGCTCTGTCGTAGCCGGCCGCGACCGGGAGACCCATGGGGCGGCGCACAATTGGCCCAGGGTAGGGGAGGGACTGGCCGGCAGGGATGTAGCTCAGTTGGAAGAGCATGGCGTTTGCAACGCCAGGGTTGTGGGTTTGATTCCCACAGGGGGTATGAAAAAAAATAAGGTATGCACTCACTAACTGTAAGTCACTCTGGATAAGAGTGTCTACTGAAATTATTTGGAGTGTTTTTGGCAACTTTAGTTGTGAATGATACAAATCTTAGAATGCCTTAGAAATCTAAAGATATATTGGCTGCATGATGCGACTATAGGCTTGCGCTCTGTTCCTTTCCTCAGGCTGCACACGCTGTTCTCTCAAGTGATCATACTGTATTTTCACCCATCAGACTATTCTCAATCTAAATCTGGTCTTTACTAATATGTAAAATGTGTTTAGATGTAGAATGAATCATTATCAAATGTGCAAGAACAGGGGCAAGAAAAAAAGAATACATGTCATCTTTATGCACTGGAATACCAAATGGAGGCCACTTTCCCGACAATACCTTTTTCACTCACGTCGGCTACTCGGATAATTTCGCAGCGACAGGTGATATTCCGCCAAAACTCTGTTTCGATGGGCTCTCCTGCAGCTATCCAATGCTTAATTTGGAAAACCAAGTGAAATCTGTTTGGGAACATCGATAGTAACATGTTTTCACAACTAAACATATTTCATAAAACTGTTGACAGCCCCTCTCTCTGTGCGCTGGAGAAAATAATGAAGGAGAGAGGGGAGGAGATGGAAGCTCACAGTGGTGCGATATTCTGTATCTAAAAAGGTAATGTGTCAGCCTATTAATTATGAAAATATATTTTAAAAAATGCCCTATAACAAATTCACTATAAATGTAGGCTAAATCAGAATTTGTTTAATTTAGTCTAGACCAATTATGTACTAAAGACACAGTATCTTAAATCAGTATTTTTGTTGTTTTTCTGCCATGTGTAATATGCGGTAGCTATGTATTGTATAACAGCACAATCATTATTTTAATTCAGGATGATTATTTTTTCGGGCTTGGGCTCATATATAGACCTATGCTTATGCATAAACTCTAATATGCATATGGGTGTTTTTAATTAATCATTACCTTAGAAAGCGCTGTCCATTTCGTTGTGTTTGGATTTGAAACAACATCCACAATGACCATGTTTTCCACTCAGTTTAAACCTGCTGTTTAACTTCTTTCTTCAAATTGATAAATCACAGTGAGGTGAGATTCAAAAGCACATAAGTGTTTGATGATAAGTGTTTGATGTGATTTTCAATTGCATTTACATTGATGTCAGAGTAGTTAGAGAGACAATGCATGACCTACCATTAGCGACCTGATAATCGTTAGCGAGTTGGGGACTACTAATGCATGTCCAGAGCGCATAAGAGGGATGACCGTGACTCAACGGTCATGTAGAATTTTACTGCGGTCATGACTCATGACTACCGGTGTGGCCGTAATACGGTCACCGCAACAGCCGTAACTCTGACCCACAAATTTTATTTTCTAGATTCATGATGTTGTTGTTAGACAAAGCAAGAGAAGTGAACTTCAAAACGTGATGTAGTTTAATTGGAATTTGCAGCTGTTGTTGGTAAGTATTAATTAGCAGATTCATTACTTACCATGACTTCCTGCATCTACAGTGCATTCGGAAAGTATTCAGACCCCTTCCCCTTTTCCACATTTTACTACGTTACAGCCTTATTCTAAAATTGATTAAATATTTTTTTTCAACTCATCAACATACAGTGATGGAAAAAAGTATTTGATCCCCTGCTGATTTTGTACGTTTGCCCACTGACAAAGACATGATCAGTCTTTCATTTTAATGGTAGGTTTATTTGAACAGTGAGAGACGGAATAACAACAACAAAATTCCAGAAAAACGCATGTCATAAATGTTAGAAATTGATTTGCATTTTAATGAGGGAAATAAGTATTTGACCCCTCTGCAAAACATGACTTAGTACTTGGTGGCAAAACCCTTGTTGGCAATCACAGAGGTCAGACGTTTCTTGTAGTTGGCCACCAGGTTTGCACACATCTCAGGAGGGATTTTGTCACACTCCTCTTTGCAGATCTTCTTCAAGTCATTAAGGTTTCGAGGCTGACGTTTGGCAACTCGAACCTTCAGCTCCCTCCACAGATTTTCTATGGGATTAAGATCTGGAGACAGGCTAGGCCACTCCAGGACCTTAATGTGCTTTTTTTGAGCCACTCCTTTGTTGCCTTGGCCGTGTGTTTTGGGTCATTGTCATGCTGGAATATCCATCCACGACCCATTTTCAATGCCCTGGCTGAGGGAAGGAGGTTCTCACCCAAGATTTGACGGTACATGGCCCCGTCCATCGTCCCTTTGATGCGGTGAAGTTGTCCTGTCCCCTTAGCAGAAAAACAACCCCAAAGCATAATGTTTCCACCTCCATGTTTGACGGTGGGGATGGTGTTCTTGGGGTCATAGGCAGCATTCCTCCTCCTCCAAACACGGCGAGTTGAGTTGATGCCAAAGAGCTCGATTTTGGTCTCATCTGACCACACTTTCACCCAGTTCTCCTCTGAATCACTCAGATGTTCATTGGCAAACTTCAGACAGGCCTGTGTATGTGCTTTGTTGAGAAGGGGGACCTTGCGGGCGCAGTAGGATTTCAGTCCTTCACGGCGTAGTGTGTTACCAATTGTTTTCTTGGTGACTATGGTCCCAGCTGCCTTGAGATCGTTGAGAAGATCATCTTGTGTAGTTATGCGCTGCTTCCTCACCGTTCTCATGGTCATTGAAACTCCACGAGGTGAGATCTTGCATGGAGCCCCAGGCCGAGGGAGATTGACAGTTATTTTGTGTTTCTTCCATTTGCGAATAATCGCACCAACTGTTGTCACCTTCTCACCAAGCTGCTTGGCGATGGTCTTGTAGCCTATTCCAGCCTTGTGTAGGTCTACAATCTTATCCCTGATATCCTTGGAGAGCTCTTTGGTCTTGGCCATGGTGTAGAGTTTGGAATCTGATTGATTGATTGCTTCTGTGGACAGGTGTCTTTTATACAGGTAACAAGCTGAGATTAGGAGCACTCCCTTTAAGAGTGTGCTCCTAACCTCAGCTCGTTACCTGTATAAAAGACACCTGGGAGCCAGAAATCTTTCTGATTGAGAGTGGGTCAAATACTTATTTCCCTCATTAAAATGCAAATCAATTTTTTACTTTTTTGACATGCGTTTTTCTGGATTATTTTGTTGTTATTCTGTCTCTCACTGTTCAAATAAACCTACCATTAAAATTATAGACTGATCTTCTTTGTCAGTGGGCAAACGTACAAAATCAGCAGGGGATCAAATATTTTTTTCCCTCACTGTACACACAATTTCCCATAATGACAAAGCGAAAACAAGTTTTTTGAAATTTTTGCTAATCTATTGAAAATAAGAAACAGAAATACCCTTTGCTAGGAGACTAGAAATTGATCTCAGGTGCATCCTGTTTCCATTGATCATCCTTGATTGGAGTCCAGCTGTGGTAAATTCAATTGATTGGACATTATTTGGAAACGAACACACCTGTCTAAATAAGGTACCACAGTTGACAGTGCATGCACTCGGAGCAAAAACCAAGCCATGAGGTCGAAGGAATTGTCCGTAGTACTCAGAGACAGGATTGTGTCGAGGCACAGATCTGGGGAAGGGTACCAAAACATTTTTGCAGCATTGAAGGTCCCCATGAACACAGTGGCCTTCATCATTCATAAATGGAAGAAGTTTGGAACCACCAAGACTTCCTAGAGCTGGCCGCCTGGCCAAACTGAGCAATCGGGGGAGAAGGGCCTTGGTCAGGGAAGTGACCAAGAACCCGATGATCAGTCTGACATGGCTCCAAAGTTCTCTGTGAAGATGGGAGAACCTTCCAGAAGGACAACCATCTTTGGAGCACTCCACCAATCAGGCCTTTATGGTAGAGTGGCTAGACGGAAGCCACTCCTCAGTAAAAGGCACGAAAGACCACTTGGAGTTTGTCAAAAGGCACCTTAAGGACTCTCAGACTGTGAGAAACAAGATTCTCTGGTCTGATAAAACTAAGACTGAACTCTTTGGCCTGAATGCCAAGCGTCACATCTGGAGGAAAACTGGTAGAGTAGAGAGATCCTTGAGGAAAACCTGCTCCAGAGCGCTCAGGACCTCAGACTGGGCGAAGGTTCACCTTCCGACAGGACAACGACCCTAAGCACACAGAAAAGTGTCGTGACGTGACTAACATTAATCTGAAGACTGTTATCTCTAATTAACCGCCGGCCACTTTGAGTAAGAAATCATGAATGTATTTACGTGAATCTCTTGGTGAACCAGACCGCCTTGGAAGGGGGGTGGGCCTTTTCACGGCACGCTCGTAAGTCTCTTATTGTCCGAAATGGTTCCAACAGTCATCTACTGTTGTCTTTCTTCGTAGTTGTCCGGTCTCCGATAACTTGTCATGTAGTCCTGAACAGAACTACAGAATTGATTTTCCTTCCATTAGCTCTTGAAGTTGCTTCTTTGAAGATCGATGGTTCCCCAATGGGGTGATGAGAGTAGCGTAATACGATGTATTGAGCAGAGTAGCAGATGGTCCTACTTAAATTCACTTTCGAATATACCTTACTTAGGACAGCTAATCAGCCGAACCAGTGATTGTCCGGGAGGTGAGTTTATTTTCTTCAACTCGTGTTGAGATTCAAAGTTCCAACCATTTTAAACGTGTAGCTGCCGCTTCATGTTTTTCTGGTCTAATGTATTTTTTCTTTAACCCATCATTTATACACTTTGGTCGAAGGGGCGGTTCCGGCAGGCTG